TTCAGCATCTTAGCTGTAGAGGGCAGTGTCACTGGTCCTCATATGTGGGATCCGAACCAGGGCCCTCTGGCATCCCAAGCCAGTTCTTAACCATCACGCCACTCGGCCGGCCCCAAAATTTGTTTCTTAATAAGACTTGAAAGTTGAAATTACTCCTTGATCCACGTGCTACAGCAGGCATGAAAACCCATTAACCTTGTACATCTCCATTACTAAGCAGTAATATTTTGAAAGAATCTTTTTCTCTGAGAAACAACATGGGCTTAAAATGTTCAGTAAGCCATGTAAACAGGTGTGCTGTCCTCCAGGCTTTGTTCCATTCAGAGAGCACAGGCTGAGTAGATTTAGCATGATTCTTAAAGGTCCTAGGATTTTCCAAATGGCAAATAAGCATTGACTTCAACTTAAAGTCACCAACTGCATTAGCATCTAGCAAGAGAGTCAAAATCTCCTTTAGGGCATTGACTTTTCTCTAGCTATGAAAATCCTAGATGGCTTCTTCCAATATCATGTTTTGTCTACATTGAAAATCTTACTTAGTGTAGCTACCTTCATTAATTAGCTAGATCTTTTGGATAGCTTGCTGCAGATTCTACATCAGCATTTGCTGCTTCACCTTGCACTATGTTATGGAGACGGCTTTCCTTGAACATGAACCAACCTCTGCTAGCTTCAAACTTTTCTGCAGTTTCTCCACCTCTCAGCCTTCCAAGAATTGAAGAGAGGGCCTTGGTCTGGAAAAGGCTTTGGCTTAAGAAAACGTGGCTGGTTTGATCTTCTATCCAGACCCCAACTGTGTCCATATCAGCAATAAGGCTGTTCCACTTATTTTTGTGTTTATTGGAGTAGCAATTTTATTTCCTTTAAGAACGTTCCTTTGCATTTACAATTTGGATAACTGTTGGGCACAAGAGGCCTGGCTTTTGGCCTATCTCAGCTTTCAACATGCCTTCCTCACTAAGCATAATCATTTCTAGTTTTTTTATTTAAAGTGAGAGATGTGTGACTTCATTTCACTTGAACATTCAGAGGCCTGTGCAGGGTTATTAATTGATCTAGTTTCAATATTGTCATGTCTCAGGAAATAGGGAGCTCTGAATAGAGGAAGAGAGATGGGAATGGCTCGTGGATGGAGCATGAGGACACACATTTCTTGATTAAGTTCACTGTCTTATCTGGCATGGATTGTGGCTCCCCAATACAATTACAATAGTAACATCAAAGAATACTGATGACAAATCACTGTAACAAATACAATAATAATGAAAACGTTTGAAGTATTGTGAGAATTACCAAAATGTGACACAGGTACAAGAAGTAAGTAAATGCTGTTGGAATATGGCACCGATAGACTTGTTCAACGCCAGGTTGTCACAAACCTTCAATTCTTCAATTTGTAAAAAGCACAATATCTGGGAAACAATAAAGCGAAGCACAATAAAACAAGATATGCCTGTACTAGAAGAATGGTCTCATGGCAATAGGTCCTGTTTCCTCACTAAATGCACCAAAGCCAGTAATTTCATGGTTTGAATAGGGGAAAGAATGTGAACGTCATTGTAAAATAAATAGGTTGCAAGATTAGTTAACTACATAGTAGTGCTACTATTTGATAAAATTTGAATGATAATTGTATATCTAGCATATTAAAAAAAGGACTGAAATATTCAAATGTTTGTAACCCTGAGACATAATTAAGCAAAATAAACTTGTCTTTAAGGACGTTTCAACCTTCCATTAGATTATTTACCTTTTCATTACTGAATTGGCACTAAGAGTTTTCAAGGACTGGGGGTAATTTTCAGTGATTTGTTCCACTTCTGTCAGGTAAGTGATAATTGTCAGCTATTCTGATAAGCAAAAAGAAATATGTGTGACATTTAAAAATATTTATCTGTCCATTTGCCAGCATGTATGTTGTTTTGTGTGATAAAACCTGATGAAGGTAGTGGGCATCATTGAACAAACTTAAAACTTAATTGGGTAGTTAATTTTGTCCTAAAACTACCATGTCCACTACCAGAAATGAAGCAATAGTTTAAGTTTAAATTATTTTTTGCCATCACAGCATTCTGACCTTGCAGCTTTCCTAGAGTATTCAAAGTTTTATCCTCTCCCAAATGTACTCAACTTATCCCATAACACATTTCTTTTTCTTTTTTTGCTTTTAGGGGACATTTTATTGTCTTCAAAAAGTAGACTCTAGCTCTGTATTCAAGTTGGGTATTTTGATTGGTTTTAACCTTTACTTGTTCACAGCCAATAATCTTATTTTCCCTTTATTTTCATAAAGAAAACATTACCACAATATTTTTTTCAAGCAAAATCTTAATATTTCTAAGCAAAAACTAATCTGTATGTCTTGCTTATTTATGTTGATTTTACATATCTTCTTAGCTTAAGTCTCCCCAAAGGGATTGTTTCATTGATTTGTTACTCCCAACACCTAGAACAATGCCTGAATTTAACAGCACTAGAAAGAATAATTAATTCCATTGCCTTGGATAGAATAGAGGTGGGGGCAAGTGCTGATGTCCGATTTTGCTTTCAGCTAATATTCCTATATGTAAAAAAAGCATGTTTCTCAAGAGGATGTGGCTTGTTCACTGTTGTAGCCTTATAATTTGGTGCTGTTGTATCCCTGCATGTGGTAATGATCTACTACTTTCTATAGAAGTCAAGCCTATTCTTAACATAAATTATGATTACTGTTTTCCACATCACATTTTATATACATATGCCTCTTGAAAATTAGCAGGCTACTGAGGCATTTTTTCAATTTAAACTATGGCTCTGTCAAACTCCTAGCTCAACAAACGGCTTTGGGAATTTTTAAGTATATTCTACTCAAGAAGTTGTGCTCTTCAACTTAACTGAAATCAAGAGCAGATTAATACAGCTGATAGTTTTAAGCACTTATAACTCAGCTATTAGCTAATAATAAGAGGTTGAGATAAAAGCGAACAAAAGGCAAACCCAATATAAAATAAATGTGTCTACTTTTGGAAAAGAATAATTTAAGAAAATAATTCATTAAAAAGGTTTACTTTCTGCAGACAAGTTATAGGAAAAAGTGCCTCTTTAGCAATCAACCTAGACTAAATCGACACAGCACCCTAGTACTTACAGCTATAACCAAAAGTTAAAGACAGTGTAGTCTGTGTAACATGCTCTTACATCTGAGGTGAGCAAAACTTGCTTTTAACCATACAGATCTTGTTGACATCATTTTGCGTAACATATCTCCAACTAAGAGGCTTACATTAGGAGTTCTTACTCCAGAGAAATGTACTCTTTTACAAAATTCTGCCACAATCTAGTTATAGTCAGATCTTTATTTTAGATTTTCATCTGCCAACTTAGCGTTTCCCACCAACTCGGGGAGCAGAAATCTTCACAGGCTTCACAATCTTTTGCTTAGGTGCTGCCTTTGTGGGAGCCTTAGCAGCAGCCATTGCTGTCTTTTTAGATGCTTGCTTAGCCGTTTTTGCTTCCTTGGCAGCCCTGATAGCTTGTTCTCATTGAGCTTTCCTAACTTCAGGTTTCTGATCCCTCTTGGCCATCATATCAGCAAGAGACGCAACCAGTGATGGCCCTCTGGAATTTGACTGCACGGCGGGTTCTTTTCTTTTGAATTTCTTCCGACTGTCCTTTTTTGTGCTTTCTTTTGTACAGGACAGCCCAGTTTATCTGTCGAGAATTCCTCTTGGAAAGGAATGCCAACTTGCATTTTGCATTAAGAAAATTGGAAAACCTTCCCGTTGGTCCTGGCATAGCACCTCCCGTGTCCGGGGTAGATCTTGTACCCACTGAAACTGCACAGCTCGACCTTCATGGCCGCAGCTGCCCGAAAGAAGGAAAGATGGTGAAGAGCCATAACACATTTCTTAGAGAGTTTTAATAATATCTAGAGTAGAAAGGTTGTCAAATTAGTCTCCCCATCAAATATCTGTATGTCTGAAGAATTTGGGTGATTTATGTTAGAAGCATTGCCAATCCTTTAAATGTTATTTATTGTAGGGTTATGAAGTATTTTTTTAATTACGATGAATCATAAATTCCATTCTTAATTTCACTCAAAAACAATTATTTTTGTGGGTGTGTTCTGTTCTTTTAAATTCATTAAACTTATCTAGAACTAAGTACCATGGTAGTTGTAGAGGCATCGATGTAGAGTTCTCACCCTCATGACTATTAATTTTATTGGAGATATTAATACCACTTTGCGGGCACCTACTAACTGTACAATCCCAGAAAACCTGATTACTTCTTGGGGACATTCCCTTCTATTTGAAAGCTCAGTTGAAATAATATCATGCAGAATAACATATGCGCATTGACAACTTGTACAACATACTGTCCGGGAAGGTAAGGAGTCCTGAAGCTAATTTTTTATTTATGTGGGTGGGTGTAGAGGGGGAAGGAATAATTCCTTCTGAAATACTTAATTGTTGGACTACAATTTAGATCTGTGGGCAATTTTAAGTGTTGCCTATCAAGGCTTAATAGGAATTTGACAACAGGTAGGATAGAAATTATTTTATTTAACACATATATGCTTATTGGGTGCCAGACACTTTCTAAGCCTTTTTACAAATATTAATTCATTTAATATTTGTACTTTGCATACTATTTTGAGTTCCACAACATTATTAGACTTGACACTCTTTTTATGGGAACTGGGTTCAAATGGTTCCACTTGAAAATATAAAGAATCCAGTGATTAATTTTTTACTACATCTTATTATAGCTATTTAATGAAAGGAAATATGTAAAGACCACGGTTCTATTCAAAATTAGTGAGATGGAGCCTCTCCCTCTTACTGTTAATGTTCATAGCTTTAAAAATCCTAGGATTTTGCTGCTTTTTAAAAAGTCAAATTGGGAAACAGGAATAAAAGAATACATTTTTCTCAAATGATTCATGTACCACTTATTTACTGTATTGTGTTGCTGTATTTTATGCATCTTATTTCTATGTAAAATTCGGTGATAGATATGCTAATATTTTTTGCATCCTTGGGATCCTCTAAATTTTCAAATGATGGACAAATGAAAGAATAAATGTGGAAGTGATTTGGAACTTGGAATGGTGATGTGAAGGTAGTGTGAGGTGAGATCCCTGCCCTAACTCCAACACACTCACATAAAGATTATGAATTTAAAAGCATGAATTAAACACATATATCATTATGAATGAAAAAAATTTTGAGATCATTTTTCAATGGAGGGATGAAGGCAAGTTCGCAGTTCTGGCATTTACAATACATCTGGAGTTAAGCTACAATCTAACATAAGTACGTTAATTTTACGCTGGGAAAGGCTGACCTATGGCAAAGATGATTTACAAGGAGCTCTATGGTACTTCTTGGCTGGAGGTTAGGAAACTACAGATGACACAGATTTGGGTGGGGTTTTTGTTTTGTTTCGGTTTTGGTGAGCCGGGGGAAGGGGGCTCTGCAGCACCAAAAAGAAAGACTTTCTCCCAAGGCTGCGTGTCCGCCAGGGGGCAGTAGTGAGTGGAAGAAGCTTTGACTGTCTGTAGTCCTCGCTTTCCGATTCACGTGACTCGTACCTCTCTCCGCCTCACCAACCCTACTTCCGGCCTGGCATCACCCGGAAGTGAGGGGAGTGAGGGAGGGAGGGGTAAAGGCGGACCGCGCGGCGGCGGGGTGGAGGAAGCGAAGCAGCGGAGGGAGGAGTTGCCGCCGCCTTCTCTGCCACCATCACCACCACCCCCTCAGCTACAGTCACCGCCACTTCTATGACCTCTCCCGGTGTTTGAGATTGGAGCCGGCGCTGGTGGGTTTGTCGCTGCCAAGGGCTGCGTAGCTCCGAAGGTTTAACCGTAGGACAGAAAAACCAGGTAAGTCCTGTATCGGCTTCCCGTCGTCCCCTTCTACTGGAGGGGTGTTCTGTACTGTCAGTCTGTACTACTGAGTGTGGCGAGAAGGTCATTTTAATCTGGGCAGTCTCCAAAGTCACTTCTTCACCACTCCAGTGTTTCCAACACTCGTGCACCTTACAGGGGTTAGAGACGGGGAGATTAGGTCCGGACCTGTGTCACTTTCTTGTACCTTCCTGGGGAAGTGTCCTGATCATCCATGGCCTATGTTATTACCTAATTAATTGAAGGTACTCGGCTGTGCCCGGTATTGGAAGTCACATAGACTGATCACTATTGTAACAAATTATTTTGCTGCTTCTATCGCCCTGGAAGCATAAGCCAGACTGAGAGAACACTGTTGTTTCTATTTCGTTTTGTTCATTCTGCCCCCTTCCCAGTCAAGTTACTCGCCATCCTTGTTGCACCCTGTGGCATCTTTATCTTGGTCACTTTTTGTAGTAAACGGTGAGGTTATGTTAAGCACTGACAACTCATATTGTTTCACAGGTCATTGTTTTTCAACATCTGATTTTTGTTTTAATTACACCCTCTTCATCTATAGTTTGGTTTTGTATTGAGACGTAATGTGTACAGAGCATTGAATTAGGTGATACTGAGGTGTGGGAGATGTTAGAGGGCATGCACAAGAAATAGGCTCAAGTCTCTGGCCTCAAAAGAGTGTGCACTCCAGTTAGTTGAGTTCAGTTATGAATAGAGTGGGTTCTAGCAGCGCAACTGATTAAATAACTAGGCTGCTTATCTCATCCTTTCTAAAGGATATTTTGAACTGAGGTATTATTTTTTATTATTCAAACTTTCTTGTGTCTACAGTCATGAGATGAGAGGGTTTTCTTGTAGCAGAGGGTCCCACAATGTATTAGGAAAGATGGATGCACCCTTTTAATCTCAGTAAAGTTGTGTATTAGAAACAGGAAGTGTTATGACCTGCAGGGAAGGGAGCATTTGAACTGGGCCTTGATAAATGGATAGGATTTAGCTTTGTAGGGGAGGGCAGCCCAGGTAGAAGAAATAATGTGAACAAAGGCTTGGGGGCTAGAAAGATGCAGGACATCCAACAATACATTGTATGTCAGCATCCCTATTTCTAACAAAGCCACATCTTCCAAGATTTTACTGGTTAAAAGAAAAAATATATATATATATAGAATACAAAACTGATAAGCTTACAACAATATCCAACTACCCTCCAGCCAATAAAAAAACTTATGTAGAGAAAAAATCATGAAATGACCAAAACAATATTAATGTATCATATTGAATTCAAATGTAAGCTCAAATCTAAAAGAGAAAAATGTAAAGCTTGCTGTAGGTACTTTAATTTTGATTGAGTGTTGTGTCAAAATATAACTTGGAATCATTTTTTAAATTGCTGGGAATGAATAACAACATTGTCTAAAGCCAGAAGCTGTTCCAGGTTTTCCCCAAGGAATTTCTGCATTTCCTTTTCTCCTCCAAATTGATTTTTCTGCTGGTCTCCTTAACCTGGTAGAAACTATTCTTTTCCCATCATAGTCTTAGAAAGATCTTGATTTGTGGCCTCTAGGTTGTGTTAAATTAAACACTAATTCCTCCAGAGGATAGGTTAACATTTCTGGTCTCTAATGCAGAAGGTCGTTTTTCTTTAACAAATGTATACCAGAAGCAGTAAAATTTGAAAAAATGAGAGAGAGAGAGAGAGAGAGAGAGAGAGAGAGAAGCTAAAAAATAACCCCAACTACCACACTACAATCTTTACTTCTGTGAGGGTTCTGAGGCAACTCAGTCGTTTTTATAAACCCTTGTTATAACTGCTTTTATGTATATGTATTTAAAAATACTTGGCAAACTTTAATCAAGACTTTCGACATCCTAGTGAGTGAAAATAATCTTCATTTGCCAGTTGGTAAAGTAAATTGTGAGGAGGGATTAGTCTGAGGTGATACAGGCACTGGCATAGATGAGAATAATATTTGGGAGTTTTGTCTCAAAATTTCCTCTATTCGTCTTTGTTAAAGGGCAGTACAGCATTTAAAAGTTTCACCGAGTTTTTTTGTTATGTTTTGTTTTTAATTAAAGTTTATTGGGGTGACAATTGTAGGAGGGATCAAATATATGGTGATGGAAGCAGAACTGACTCTGAGTAAACACAGAGTTGTGTTTTTAAACCGTGATCTTTCTTAGAACATAAATCAAGATGGGGGCAAGGGCCGGCCGAGTGGCTCAGTTGGTTAAGAGCTTGCTTAAGAGTTTGAGCTCTGAGCAACAGCGGTTCGAGTCCAGCCCGAGCTGAGCAGCCGCTGAGCTGCCAATAGGTAACAGGATGGCTCAGCTAAAAAAAAAAAAAAAAGATGGGGGCAGTGAGCAGGGAGGCAGACAGGAGAGACAGGCAACAATCAGACCTATTCAGTTCAATTTACCATCCTAGCAATCATGTTTTTTCACTTATAAATCTGTCTTCAGGTTGATTTAATGTGATATAACTTGCTTACTTACCCACTGAGATAGTATGGCAGGAAAAGTTATCACAAAACCTTTAGAATGTGTTTCATTAAAGTAAAAGGGTAGGATATTTCTGGTTTCATAAATGTTTCTAGTTTCTCCATCACTGTTAGAAAATTTAAGTGATTTCCTCGTATTTGTGGGCTCAAATGTGTGAGATATTGGTATATTACATCGGTTTTCACAGATACTTCTTTTCTTGAAGGAAATCACTATAAAATATCCCCATTTTGAACTAATTAGGTTCACTTTGTACCATGTTTTCTGTCCACATTTAAAATTGTACGACTCAAGTATTTAATTTTTTAACCTATTTTTACATTATAATTCTCTAGAAGCCCATCTTTTCAGACCTATAATCAGAAGTGCATTTTAACAATTTACTAACTGAAATAAATGGGTTAGTTCACATCTTAGGGAAATTGTTTTAACCTGGCCATTTACCTAAATTGATTTGTGAAAATTAAAATGTTTTGTTTTATGCTGTTGTAACTGATGCCTATCGGGGTTGTGCATTTGATGTCTCAATCAAAGTAGATAGGGAGGGAATAATACTGCAATTACTTCCCTCCCCTCCTCCCACCTGAGAGTTTGCAGAGCACTGTATACTTCTTCGAATTATGAAGAAAATGGTTCCTGCTTCGTGAGTGTTCACATGAAGCACACTACCTGCTATTCAGGATAGGAGAGCATTAAGAGTGCTTCTGTTGAGACCTGAAAAACTGTCAACAGAGATATAAGAATAGAGTGAAAGAATTCCACAGTGGAGGGCCCTCTAAAAAATTCTCAGGACTGTTTAGGATAAATTTGTAGCTGACCTCTACTGTCACGAGGATACTTAAGAACTGATCCTTGAGCTAACAGAAAAGCTTACAGAGCTTAGTTGTTAAAGACTTACAAGTATAATTTCCTTTGTTGATCTTATACTTACAATGGTAGGAAAAAAGGTATCTAATTTTTTTGGTGATGATAAAATTATTTGCTCTAAGAATTCAATTGAATTATTAAATTAATTATTAACTTAATAGCATTACATTAATATAAAATAGCAAACATTGATTACTAATATATATATATTAATCATATTATTAAAATACTAATTTAATATTAAATTATTTGTATACAACTAGTTTCATTTCTGCCAATAAATGCTTTCTTTTATTTTACTGTACCATTTCACTGTTAATTCTAAATATCACTTTTTAGTTCAGATTTATAGCCACAATATCTTGGTATTAATTTTTAATCATAACTCTAAGTGCATTTTTTATTAGCAATCAGATTGGTGTCATATGTCTTCAGGTATTCTCCATCTAAAGCAGTGTTTTATCTTGCTCATCTTTTTCTAGCTATGTGATAATAGGGTTAATTTTAGTCATGTAAACCCTTGTAGTCTTCAGATAGTTTTAAAGCCTTAAATTCATTGTATGATGATGGATAAAGGAATAATTTATTTAATACAGTATATTATTTGACCTTGAGTGTCAGGGTATGATTAGGATTGCCTAAGAGTTTGTCTACTGTATTATTACAAAAATAGCCCACAAATTCCTGTTTCTTAACTTTAGGGCAAGTGGTAAGTCATGGGATCCTGAATCTTTTACTATTTTTATTTGTTGTTGTTTCATGTAAGTGAAACAGATCAGAACCATTCATCTGTCTGGCATGAAAAAATAAATCTGGCACTTTGTCTATTATTTGCACTTTAGTAAGAATTGACATATTCTTTCATAGGACCAAATTATTCCTAGACCTGGCAAGTGGCTAAACTGAGATTTAAGGAGAGTCAGTCTGGCTTCAGAACTATGCTCTTACCTAAAAAAAAAGAACTATATTTGAAGAACATAGACATTTGAGCAAAATTAGATCTATTGGAATTAACTTCCTTGTTTGTCTTAAAGTGAGAAATGCTCATTTATCTTCTTTGAAAGTACAAATGAGCAAATTGATTTGATGATTAAAAATTCAAGTATTGGTAGCTCAAAATTTCCTTGGAAGTTTCAAACTAAATTCAAAAGTAAGGACACATTGTTTTGCTTTTAGTTAATTACATTATTTAAATATATGCTAAAGACCTAATGTTTAAAATGGTGTTAGTCTTATTTTAGTTTTATTCTCAGAGTCTCCTGGAAAGAGAAAGGAAACAGTCCATGTGTGTTGTATCTTTACAGTAAGCTTATTACTTGTATGACGCTAGACAGATTTCTTACCTTTTGTGCCTCAGTTCCTTCCTATTTCTAAAATGGGAGCAATAACAGTACCTACCTCATAGGATTGTCAGTGAGTTTAATACATGTGTAGCTCTAAGAGCAGTGCCTGGCAGGTAGTAAACACACACAAAGTGTAGTTACTATTATTCTTTTAATCCTTATTGTAAACATAGGTTTAACAACCTGTATAATAAAAATGTTAATTATAGCTTTGCTGTACTATAGATTTAGTAGACTATAGGAGCAATATACTAATAATCAATCAGTACC